ACAAAACGGACATTTTTTTTTCTTTTAAAGGAAATGTGCAAGATTCATTTCCAGTAATTTAAGTGTAGGCTACTAACTATTAGTGTGTTGATTTATTAACAATACAGAATATAAATAGTTAATTTTTCAAATGAAATAATAATTGAATTTATTGAATTTTATTAAAATGATAAATTTACTTAAGTTTTTAAATAGTATTTTTTAATTAATAATAATTCGTTTTATTAATAATTGTAATATATATATATATGTTTAATAATTTAAAAAATTAAAAAAACAAAAAATAAAAGTAATTGATCATTTAAATAATTGTAAAAAATAAATAACATTAATTGTTAATTATGAATAAATAACTTAAACACACACACACACACACACACACACATATATATATATATATATATATATATATATATATATATATATATGTGACCCTGGACCACAAAACCACAAAACCAGTCATAAGGGTCATTTTTTTCTGAAAGCTGAATAAATAGGCTTTCCATTGATGTATGGTTTGTTAGGATTATATATATATATATGTGACCCTGGACCACAAAACCAGTCATAAGTAGCATGAGTGTATTTGTAGCATACATTGTATACATGTATACATTAAAATTATAGATTTTTCTTTTATGCCAAAAAACATTAGGATATTAAGTAAAGATCATGTTCCATGAAGATATTTTGTACATTTCCTACCATAAATATATCAAAAATGTATTATCATTAGTAATATGCATTGCTAAGGACTTCATTTGGACAACTTTAAAGGCGATTTTCTCAATATTTAGATTTTTTTGCACCCTCAGATTCCATATTTTCAAATAGTTGTATCTCGGCCAAATAGTATCCTATCCTAACAAACCATACATCAACAGAAAGCTTATTAATTCAGCTTTCAGATGATGTATAAATCTCAATTTCAAAAAATTGACCCTAATGTCTGATTTTGTGGTCCATGGTCTCTCTCTCACACACACACACACACACAGACGTGGTTTATATCTGTGATTTTTATTTTTAATTTTGATTGGTTTAATTGTTATTGGTTATTGGTTTAATCATATTTTAAGCAGTACTGAACAATAAAATTATTGCTATCGTCCGTTCCTAACAAACCATACATCAACAGAAAGCTTATTAATTCAGCTTTCAGATGTTGTATAAATCTCAATTTTGATTTTGTGGTCCATGGTCTCTCTCTCACACACACACACACACACAGACGTGGTTTATATCTGTGATTTTTATTTTTAATTTTGATTGGTTTAATTGTTATTGGTTATTGGTTTAATCATATTTTAAGCAGTACTGAACAATAAAATTATTGCTATCGTAATGCAAAATAATACTGCCTTAATTTCACTACTATTACTGACTTTCATTCAAAAGACCACAAGGAGTCAAATCTTTAGTATGATTCAGTGTATTATGGTTTTTTGATAGCTTGCAGTTACCGTGGAGTTTTGTGGTCGAACAGCATGATCTGCTGATGAGATTCTGGATCTAGAGTTCTGATAAAGTATCAGTTTGTAACAGCTGTGGTCATGAGTCAACACAGGTGTCTGTTTACAGTTTTTCTGAATTGCTAAAACACTAAACCCTAATCTCTGAACCAAATTCTCACTAGCTTAAACCAAATTGTCGAATAAAGCACTCTTTCTGCTAAACCTTAAACACGTTCAGGCAGTTAGGCTCTATTTGCAAATCTCATGCACTCTTTTTGCCAAACTCTAAACACGTTCTCATTCACTTAAACACTTATCACACTGTGATGCATTTGTGCTGCAAAATGCTAAACACAAGTGGCAAAAGTTAAACTCAACTAAAGCACAGTTGTCATCATTTACACACAATGATTCAAAATTGTTCACACTTGTTTCTAATGATGTGATCAAACCAACTGTACAAAATATGAGCCAGTTCAGAGTGCACAAGTGGCACAGGTGACTGAATGATGATATGAACAATAGATGGAAACTATATATATATATATATATATATATAAAACAACAGTAAAGTACATATATAGAGTATATACATTATTTTTTTGATTATATTGTATTTTATATTAATTTAACAAACTATTACATAATGTATAATTAATTATTTACATAATGTAAACTTTTGACGTATTTACATATTATATTTGTACATATGAAGAGTTCAGATGCAAAAGTGAATGAGCATTTTTATCAGGCTCCTATATTTATGTTCAGTAATTTCGCTTTAATTGCATAGAAAAGGACCTATACATTGTCATTAGATGAAAATGACTGAACCTAAATATAGCAGCCTGATAAAAAATACTCATTTTAGACGAAAATTTCAGATGGCACTTAGAGGCTTTTGCATCTGAACTCTTCATATACTTGTATATGTTCAATTTAATTAATGCTTGCTGCACCATAAAATGCCACTCCTGCTGTGTCCGGACTCAGTGCAGACTGCTAATGCAGCGACAAAATCGACCATTTGAGTGAACTGTTACACATTTTAGGTGTTACACCTCAACATTTATCCTAGTATGCTTTAAAAATAGATGTGGCTTCATTGTGAAACTAAATGTGCTTCCTATAAGCTTTTTGCAAAGCCGAAGTTAGCACTAATGTGTATTTTGGCAAATAAATGTTGTATGTCTTTGTTGTGCATTGAAAGGGCTCATGTGCCTTTGACCCTTCTATTACATAAAGTGCAGAGTTTAGTCGGTTTGACACTATAGTTCACTGTCAGACATGTATTAGAGCTCATGTCATGTGATTTGTCCACAGATGCCTGCTATACATGCACATCTGTTGATTCTCTTATCTCAAACGGACTCTGTGTATGTATTTATAAGCACAGAAGGGAGAAAGTCTTCATACACACATTTAGACACAGGGATACACTCAGTCCTCTGTGGAACGCGCAAAGAAGACATCACCAATTTTTTCCACATGACTGGCAAAACATCTGTTTCATTCATCTGACACTCGCTACGGGCAACTCTGCCAACATTTGTTTTATCACAATGTTCTGGAAGGAATTTTAAAGGGAAGTTTGAAATAAAGTAACAGATATGGTATGTCACAAAATTAATTTCTAATTTTTTTAAAGGTTAAAAAATACATACATTTATTAGTTCATTGAACTGAATGAAAATTGATTTTTTTTTTCATTAAATGTATTTGTAAATGTATAAATGTAATTAAATTCATTAAAATACACACTGAATGAAATGAAATAAATATATATTTAAAATAGGCTTGTAAAACATTTCTTTTGTGTTTGGTGCATTTTAAATATTGTGGATGCAAATGGTACTTCAGTTCGAATATTCATATAAAAAATATGCGTCTTTAATATAAAATTCATTGCTGTACAATTGCTTTTAAAATGTGAAAAATAAAATGATTTATGATTTTCATCTCTGTTTCTTTGTGCTGTTGATGCAGTGGTGTCGGGTTGCCTGTTGTGATGACGAGAGTTCTCACTGACTGATAGATGGTAACGATTGCTCTTCAGTAATAAGCTTTTGAGCTGCATGGCTGTTAGCTTGCTTGACCGATGTGTCTATATGTTTACAGCCACAGTGACAGCTTAACTAAATCAATCCATTCATAGACATCCACCTTTCTTATTCATCCATCTAGTCAATCGCTTCCTGTCTCATCCATTTATCTGATGCTTCTTATCCTCCAATCAGAGCAGAAACTTAATTTAAACTCTTAATTTAAACTCTTTGCTGAATGGTTAATTAGGACGTATTATTTCACTTATATGAAATGGATGTGTTGTAAGTTAAGTACTATTTAGCAGGTACCTTTCATGGAAAGTCCCCCTGGAGCATCATGGGATTTTTTTTTTACATTTTGTGTGTGTATCACAATGTTCTGGAAGGAATTTTAAAGGGAAGTTTGAAATAAAGTAACAGATATGGTATGTCACAAAATTAATTTCTAATTTTTTTAAAGGTTAAAAAATACATACATTTATTAGTTCATTGAACTGAATGAAAATTGATTTTTTTTTTTCATTAAATGTATTTGTAAATGTATAAATGTAATTAAATTCATTAAAATACACACTGAATGAAATGAA